TTGAGTTAATTGCATCTCTTAGAAAGTATCTTTGTACTCCTTTAAATATTGTTGTTTGGATACTGTGGTTTAAAYTTAAAGTGTTGATTATTCAGTGGACTGGATCTTAGGTAAAAAGAAATTCTACAAATTTTGTATTAAATTTTCACTAAATACAACTTACATTTATCTAAATACATCCTGCTAAGTATCTCTAAATCCACTTAGTTCAGGTTTTATTTTTGGAGGAAAAAATTAGTGTAAACAGGCAAATAGAATTGAATGATTAATAATTCAGGATTGAACTGTTATCTTGTTATCGACTATTATTTTTTCTTAGTGACTTTTTTATTAACTCTTTTCTTTTAGGATAATCCCACRGTAGTTGTTGAAGACTTGCGGCTCTGCACAGTCAAACACTGTGAAGACATAGAAAGACGTTTTTGTTTTGAGGTGGTTTCTCCAACAAAGTAAGGAGAAGTGATGGAGTATGTTTGTGTAAAAATAAAAAAAAAACAACAACATTCTGTTTTTTTTATAAATGTAAGATTAACATTTCTCTTGGGATAGATCAAAACAGGAAAAGTATCTGAACAATYCTCTGAAATTTTGGCTGAGAGTAAGTGATGCTGTGAGAAGTGTCCCTGGTATTTAGTTGACTTCTGGCATTAAAATAAACATGCATTCTTGTGCTTTTTGCATAAATGGCTTGTGATGCAGAGMTCTGCTGCAATTTAGTAGTATCTGATACTATCAGCTGCTTAGTAATGTAGAAAATAGGTCTCAGTTTCTCCTTACTTCTGATTGGTGCAATGAGAGAGGCACATAAATAAGCTGTTGTCTCAGTGATGTTAAACTATACTTCAGAATGCACTAAATGAAACTCACCAAATAAAATTATTTTTCACTTCCATCAGTGCGGWGCATTGGCTGTACTTGGGGAAGTTTGGCATCCTGCCACAGCAAGGGCAGGACATGGGTTCCTCATTAGTGATTTTGAGATGTGACCATATTTAAGTTTCTGATASAAGGAATCAGAACCTGCTTTTAAGTTTGGATGTTATCTACTGTCCCTACTCCTCCTTACATTTCKCTTCTGAAGAGATTGCTGTCTGTCCTGATGTTTGCATCCCCAGTTGTGATTCACTATAACGTGCATTTTGCTCTTGCTTGCCTGGGCTTTTTCAACCCATGAATGTTGGAATAGTTTTATACTTCATGACCTGTTTCTTTTMCTGTTGATGTGAAAAGTAGTTCATTCTTTGTCAGAGAGCTTTAAAACTACTCTCTCTTGATCTTGGTGAATGGAAATGTGTTTTYAAGAACTGATACCTGTGTCTTTGTGTCGTGGAGTAAAATGCATTTGAAAATATAAAAAAAAAAAAAGTTGAATAAGAAAAGGAATAGGAAGCTAAGCCATTCTCAGGATTTTTGGAAGAGTCTTTTCTGTATCTATCAGCCTTAACTGCAAATAATTTTGAAATGAGGAGTTTGCAACTCAGAAAAGGCTCAGGTGCTTCGTTGTCTTAAAATAAATGTGTTTATTAGTTGATGCCTATGAAACAATATACTTGTGGTGATRGCAAGTAACTTACTCCATAAAAACAGACTCCTGAGCAATGGATTGTTGGATGTCAGCTGCTTGGCCACTCTCTCTGAATGCTTTGTGGTTTGTCACAGGAGCTGCATGCTTCAGGCYGACTCGGAAAAACTGAGGCAGGCGTGGATTAAGGCTGTTCAGACCAGTATTGCCACAGCATATAGAGAGAAAGGGGATGAATCTGAGGTGAGTTTAAAAATCCACCAAACAACCACCCCCACCTTTAGATGCTGAAAATTTTAAATATGTGAAACCTCTTTTAATGAGAGGGAAGGAAAAAAAGAATCTATTGTTTGTCTTCCAATGGGAATGCAATGGAATTTTGAAGGCTCTGAATTGTATCTCATCTGTTTTTCACTTCATCTTMTTMTTATTAYTATTAYTATATTTTTTATGAGATTTTTCTGTAGTGTGATTAAAATTCATTGTATGTTCTTATATTCTGTTTTCTATATCTTCTAAAAACCTTAACCCATTTTCAGTTCTGTGGCTTTCCTTGGCCTTGCCTGAAATTACTTTTCTTGGATTTTAGTGCACAGGCAATATCTGTGGGACTCTAATTCCTTTAATTTGACATGTGTCTCTTTATTGGTTTGTTTGTTTCTTTGTTCTTTTAGAAACAGGAAAAGAAATCATCTCCTTCTACTGGGAGCCTAGAATCTGGGAGTGAGACAAAAGAGAAGCTGTTGAAAGGAGAGAGTGCTCTGCAGCGAGTTCAGTGTATTCCTGGTAATGCTGCCTGCTGTGACTGTGGTTTGGCAGATCCTCGCTGGGCCAGTATCAACCTGGGAATCACACTGTGCATCGAGTGCTCTGGGATACACAGGTTGGGGAACTGTATTTGATTTGAGAATTGACTCATTAGGAAGGGTGGTATTTACCTTTTCAAAGGTATATTGAAAGAAAATTAGAGACCTTTATTCGTAAACAGAATTAAGGTTTATGCTTTATTTGCTTGTATTTATGGTACATCTGTCTGAAGTAAGATACCGTGAATAGTTACAGGTTACTGTGGTTTTTTTTTCCATGCTGTTTAGGAGCTTGGGAGTCCACTTTTCAAAAGTAAGATCTTTAACGTTGGATTCATGGGAACCTGAACTCCTAAAGGTATGACAGTACTTTTGAAACAGGTTTCTATTTGCTTAGAACAACTTTGATTGTTCTCAAGCCTCTGCATGAGAAAATTCAGTGCAAGAAACTGATTTGTACCCAGTGTATGTCTTGCAGTTTTGAGCAGGAAATGTTTATAGTTGTGTGTTGGTTTATTTCAATTCACACTTTCTTATAATCCRTAGTTGTTTGTGTTAGAAACTTGCAATTCAGAACAACTTACAACGCCTTCAGGGTCACAAGTGCACTCTGAGTAGCAAGTTTCATCTAAAACTTTCAACATATGAAGAGGCAAATCTGTTTACAAACTAATAATGTCTGTCAGTGGGCTGAAAATTTTGGAAGTGATATATCAGCCTAAAGCATTACCATACTGAAAAATTTGAAYGTCAGTTCTTAACAGTGAGATTCTACTGGCTTATAGGAGAACACTCCTTGCAACAGCTTTTGTGTGCTATTTGTGTGCCAAATGTCTAGTTTGAACCATGGTTATAAAAATCATGCGACCCCCAAATCCTGAAACAGGAACTCCTGCATGGATGCTGCATGCAACTAGATAACTCATGCAGAGCATTTGTTTCTAGCTGTAATGTTAGGTATTGCTTCTCTATTCTGAGCAATCAAAAGATAATGTGAGTAATGGTGTTTTGTTTGTGGTTAAATAATCTTAACGTCAGTATGTTCATGCTGACAAAACAGCCAAACCATCCCTCCCTCCCCCTCCAAAAATAAGCTATATGTCTTGTACTATTCATGTAACTACCAGAATGAACTATTCTACGTGGTATTAGAAAAAATAAGTCTGTTCATTGAAACCAGTAGGGCCAAATTCGCTAGTAAGTAGTATCTGCAGGCTGGTTTTTGTCTTTGCTCTTTTCTCTAGTTGTTTCAGATTGTGGTTTAGTAAAAATGTCCATTGGATAAGATGGAATGCAATTGATTTAATTGTCTCTTGCTGATAGGGTTAAGAACRGCTCCTGGAAAGCTGGTGGAAAAGAGCACCTTTGTTAATGAGGCCTACAGGTGTCATTCTGGTGGTTGTTTTTTCAGTTGCTTTAAAAGTGACTATATTTTTATCTTGCTCAGAATTTGGTCTCTCTATTCACTAATATTCTATTATTGTCACAAACCTTTGCTTATTTGTATAAGTGTACTTCTACCAGTGAAAACACTTAAGTTGTAAAAATAGGCTGAGTGAGGTTAAAAACAAATGAATAGGTAGATCAAGCTTTTTGCAGCTGTATTTGAATTTATTTATTTTGCTTTATAGCTTATGTGTGAATTGGGAAAYGATGTTATAAATAGAATATATGAAGCGAAGTTGGAAAAACTGGGAGTAAAGAAGCCACAATCTGGAAGTCAAAGGTAGTATTTTACTAGCAGTGCCTGTTGCTTCCTTTTATTGTTGCTTYCTTCAGCCTCCACCTGTAAAAGATGCTGCCACTTAACTGTGTAACACTCCTTTAGTGTACTTCTTTCCTTATATCACCAGTATGATTTACTTTCTCCCTTCTCACTCTCTTTATTGGGTATTCCTTCTGTTGGTCCCTTTCTGCTTCTCCTGTTCATTTGTTCTTTTTTCTGATCTCACTCCCTCATTTTGATAACAGCTCTAGAGCGTCACTGTGGACATGTGGGTTTTGTTTCCTCTCTGCTTGGTACCAGTTCAGCCAGATGTACTCAGTGTGTGAGTGCTCCTGGAAGGAGCCTGGGKTTGTGCCTTTTGTTTGCAGCGACTTTGTTTTTCCATTTGACTTTTGTTCCCTGATCCTCAGAATGTTCTCGTCTTCCTACCTACATTGTACAWGAGCTCTGCTGCTTTACAGCAGCCTTCAAATCATTGTACTGCTGTCTTCTATTTCTCTGATGCTAATCTGTGTTTGAAGGTGGATTCCTAATGTTTTGTGCTGCCGTGTAGAATGTCTCTTGAAACTTGGGTTTTTACTGCCTTTCCAGTTCTGTGCTRCTTGCTGCCCAGCAGTTTTGTAGTGTAGAAAAAACTGCATTTTATGAAGTGTTGGCAATTCGGAGACAGTGATAATAATATAAACAAAGTAGGAGATTTGCTAGATATTCCTTCTAGTGATAACTGCTATTCAGTAWTACTATTATTGCAGTAATTACAGCCCCTTTTATCAGTTTGTTACAACTGCTCTTGTGTCTTAGGCTGATAATCTCAGGTTGCAAGAATACATACTTCAGTATGTGATATGGAACTGATGGTTGTGCCTACCTAAGGCTTGTYATTGTTTTCTTGTGTAATCCTGGTKCTCCTGTAACAAATGTTGYAATTTATATTTACATTAGAAATTAARTATGTTTTATTAATAGRTAATTAACAATGKAAAACATGTATAAAGGTTTAATACATACAGTATTAATATACATATTTAATAACATACAKTAACTAATGCTCATTTCTTCTACATACCACTTTCTAAAGTCTGTMTTAAAGAAAGTACTTGTACATGAACTTAACAAAATTACTTTCTTTTGAGCCTTATGCAAAATTTAATCAAGAAACCAGAAATTGACAGTGTGCTTTGCATCTTTCTGAAAATGTACTATAGGTGTATCTTATGTGCAATGCCAAACTAAAATTTTGGTTACTGACTTTAATACAAAATAAACCTTCTTTTAATTCATGAAAGTACTAAAGTCTTAGCTTACTAACTCTGGGGATTTTGTATATGRCAGGCAGGAGAAGGAGGCATACATCAGAGCAAAATATGTGGAAAGAAAGTTTGTAGAGAAGCAAGCTGCATCAGTACCTCTGCCTGAGTCTGGAACAAAAGTTTTGCGTCCAAGTCAGGAAGAGAAAAGGCACAGTGGCCCTGCAAAATCCCTTTTGGCAGGGGAACAAGGTGCAGCATCCCAAAAAGGTATTTACACACTTGTCTCCTTAGTTGTATTACCTATCTTCTTTCGTAAGGTAATATATTTTTATATTAGTTGACTTCTGCCTCGTGCAGAGAATTTGGAATCAATTTTTAATGGATTCTAGCCTAGTGTAGAGTGTAGGGGAGAAGAGACTTCTTCAGAGATGTGCATTTGTACATGGGGAAGAATTTGGAATGGGGATGCTTATAATACAGAAACATATTAACCACCTTCTTTCCTYCATATTTTCATCCTTCTGGATTTTTCCAATAACGTTCTTTCCTGCCCTATCCCTTCCTTACTGCCTGCTTTGTGCTTTGCTAACCTGCATGTCCCAGCGGTTGCTGTAAGTAGCGACGAGGCGAGGCGGGAGTCTCTGTTCTGTCCTGATGAACTTGATTCACTCTTCTCCTACTTTGATACCTCTTCAAAACTCCGTAGTAGTAAGTACTACAGCTGTGGCGTGTTCAGTATTTGCACTAGTGACCCAYTGTGTGTTGTGGCCATCTCCCTGCTTCAATCTGTTGTCTCCAGGTTGCTTCATTGCTTAGTATTGTCATGAAATAATTTAAGCTTTTTTACTTATCCTGATTTTTTTTTCATTTCTAGTCATTATTATTGTAAATGTTATGGTTGCAAAATGTGACTTCATCTTTTCTATGGATGCTTTAAAAAGAGTGAACAATAAATAACAAGCCATTTTAAAAAAAATATGTTCAGGACCAAGTATAAGAGCTTGCTTTATTATCATGGTATCTGTGAAGAGCAGACATGCATCGTAATTGCATAGTAATTGAAGTTTCTCCCCAAAACAGTCCGAAGCAGTGACAGTGGGATMCAGCCAAGCACTGATGACAGCAGAGAACACCTTGCCTCTACTGTATCAGCCAACAGTTTGTATGAACCAGGTGGGTTAGGCTTTGCACTTTAAGATGAAATTTTAACCACTTGGTAGCATTTCTTTTCGTAGAAAAGATTAGSGATTGATGATAGAATTCATGTCTGCTATCCTGGTTGAAATGCTTTTAGCAAGGGTAAAATTTGCCTGAGTGATTTTTCCCTTGTGCTTGCTACAAAAAATGACATTTAGTCCTTCTCAATGTGTTCAAAGAATTATGTTTTTTTTCCAGTCAGATGCGACTGATCACAAAACATTGATATTTTTTTTTTTTTTACAGATAGGGAAATGGTGCATTTTGAGAGAGACAAGTCTGCACAGAAATGCATGATCCTTYTATAAATAAATAAATCTGTGGAGATAGAATTCCTGTTCAGTCACAGATAGTAGGCTTTTATGTGTTATTTGTGCATTCTTGCCTAAGTTTTCTGTTTATGTGGAATTGACAAAGTCTTTAAACATTACTCACTCTCCTCAGAAGTTCTATAAGTTGATGAATGAAATTATTTACTAATGTTTGTGTGCTGTTGTGACAGATGTATTGAGTCTCGCTTCTCAAAATTTCCAAAACATTTATTTATAAAGCAAACTTACTCTTCTACATGAAAGCACTCTTCTGAGGTATGTCTTAAATCCTGTAGTTCACAGCTGTTACTGTAGGCAGGCAGCACATGGTTTGGATGCYTTTTGACTGCATTGTAGAAATATTTATGCTGCTGTAACTCACAAAAGCTTTTATGTAACARCATCTTTATCTCCCAGACTTCACTCTGTGTAACTGTTACTGAGATGAAGAGAAAGATTATGCTTTAGTCCGAAGATTATAGCCACAACAAGTAATTGGTAAATGACAATGGTATCTATTAACAAAAATTAGGTCAGAACAGTATTAGCCTCATAGTCAGGTGYATCAAGCTGTTGCAGATAAAGATATATTTGTATGACTACATCTCTGCAGAAAATTAGTTTTGTTCTTATCTTGCAGTTTAGAGTACAGCACACTTGAAATGTAAAGCAATTTCTTAGAAATGAGATGGAATAYTTAGATTGAAGGATATACACATGTGCCAGTAATGTGGAGAGAATGTTTTTTGTTCAGTAATAGTTCTGTGAAGAACGCTGGAGCTAAAGGCATCAGTGACTTCCCCTGGCAGAATGGGGCAGTAATACACAGCATTCTGCAAGGGCTGAGCTACCTATTGCCAGAGAAATGATGTTTTGGTCAGAATTCCAAGAGGTAACTTGTAAAAACAGGGATTACATAAGCTTTTTTTTTTTTTCATTTCAGAAGGAGACAAGCAAGAATCTCCAGTGTTCTGTGACGCCAAGCAGCCTAGTCCAGGATTGCAGTTGTATCAAGCTGCCTTTGAGAAAAATCTTCCTCACATGGCAGAAGCATTGGCCCATGGAGCTGAAGTAAACTGGGTCAACATGGAAGAAAACAAAGCAACTCCACTGATTCAGGCAGTGCGAGGGGTATGTGATATACAGCACTGGTGATGGGGGAGGAGGGCAAGGGAAATARTGATATTTCTGTGTCACTGTTCCTATTGAAGTGCTTGCTTCACTAATGAATGATAATGTGGTGCTGAATTTGTTTACGGTGTTCTCTCAAAGTTGTTTCTGAACTATTTTTTTCCTGTTAATGCTTTGTTTGGAATTCTATGTCCTAGTAGTGTTTAAAGTTGATATGGAAGCAACTCCCTTTTGTTTCCTTTGTGGTTCAGGGGTGAGAAGGCAGAAGAGATTTGTTTTGATTCTAGAGATCTGATGCTGAGTTGTTTTGTTGTTTTGATTCCATAGGGTTCATTGGTTACTTGTGAATTTTTGCTGCAGAATGGGGCCAATGTGAACATCAGGGACATGAAAGGAAGAGGGCCCCTGCACCATGCCACGGTTCTAGGACACACTGGGTAACTCATTGCTCCACAATTTTTACATGGCCATCCTTTACTGTRTTTGTTCATGTGAAGCTTCTTCATTGCCCCAGATATTCTGGCAATTTAATACCACTTCAGGTGATACAAGTTTTGCTTAAGCTCTGGTTGTGAGAGWGGAAATAATATTTTGATTTAGCACTCTGATCTACTAGCTAGCACACATGTGTTTTCTATTGCGGATTAAATAAAGGATTTGCTTACTACTCTGTTAACATGTTCTAGATRARTTGCACTATTTTGATGTCTATGAGRCTTTTRGTGATTTAAGCTAAATACACTGTATGTAGCTTGACTTTATTAGTCAAAATTTTTTTAAAATATTTTCTCTAAACAGACAAGTGTGTTTATTCCTAAAACGAGGAGCAAACCAGCATGCCACTGATGAAGATGGGAAAGATCCATTGAGTATAGCAGTGGAAGCTGCAAATGCGGATATCGTAACACTGTAAGTTATAYATTCTGTTTTCTGACTAGATAACTTAGATTTTGCTATTCTGTTTCAAGTTAAAAGTACAAGAAATGTCAAAATTCCTTTACATAAAAATGGGGAGCGAAAGAAAAATCAAAATACACTATCCATAGGTGACCTCTCCGATGTAAGGTTCAGGATATTGTAGGTCTTGCATTGTAGTCTTTTTTTTTGCTTTAAGAATGACATTGTTCCTTTTGTTTTCTGAATGGCAGGTTGCGGTTAGCAAGGATGAATGAAGAGATGCGTGAATCAGAAGGACTCTATGGGCAGCCAGGTCAATACTCTACTAATAACCACACTGAAATGCAGTATAAGAAGTGTATACAGGAATTTATCAGTTTACAATTAGATTCTTAGTGTCTGAGGGAAATTTAAGATTGTTTCATACATTAATGTTTTTTATAAACCAACACATTCTAAAGCTTCATTGAAATTCAGTGATGTGASTGTCAGAGTACTTAGGAAACCTAAAAGGAGACTGTTTAAAGAGCATCATTATAGCAGTGTGTTACTACAGCCATGACCACCCTATTTTGCTGTTTTCCACAGTTTTCTCCTATTGCTGTTCCATTGACATTTGTGTAATGTTAGGGTTTACCTGACATTATTTWGTAGCAGCTTTCTGACTCAGCTTGCTCAGAGACAGTTGAAGAGTTCATCTTATTCTAGGACACCATTCTCCTTTCTGTGGAATTGTCCACTTTTGATTTTTTAAGAAAGAAACGCTTGCACACCCATGTAAAAAGTGTATATCAGATATTTCAAACTAACTCCAGACAGAGATAGGAAAGTGTTATTTCCTTAAATTTTATTTTTWAATATTTTTATTTGTTAAGATACTAATAAGAAACAAAACAGTCATTCTTAAGTGTGTATTTTTGTATGCATAATATCTTTCTGTTTGGTTAAAAAACACATAGAAGCTGGCAGACATTTGAGCCAAGTCCAACAAGAAAGTAACAAATTATGTTTAATGAATAGGTGTAACTTTATTCTCAAGCACTCAGTCCTAGTTTACACCATGTTCTGAKGTGGGACTTGTTTCCACAGGAAAGTAATTTAATATCATGCGAATATCAATAATGAAGCCTCAGTCTATTGTGCATTAGACAACTAAAAACACCCTGCTATCCCTGACAGAACTGAAAGGTGAAGCTTGTTTTTAAGATTGAGTGCTGAGTATTCTCAGCTCACTCCTATGCCCTTACGTGTTTTCCACTGATTCATAAGGATTGGGCAGGGGTGGTGTTACCAGATTGGAGCTGGAATATAGTTGAGGGGCAACACTGAGTCTCATGTCAAAATCCTAGATGATATCTATTAAATAAACCAAATTTATTTGGTTTCTCCTTAGGAACAGGGTTTTTTAAATTTACTTTTGAAATAGGTAGTTTAAATTAAAGCAGTAAAGGTACTGTGGACCCTCTGGCATTCAGATGCTTTCTTTGACAGAGCTGCAACTGATTTAAAAGCATTTACTTGATTATGAGCTCAAAAGAGCTCAGAAAATATGGCAGGCTCCATAGGAAAAAAATAAAACCCTACTGTCAGTGTGGCCAATTTCAATACAAAGCTGCTTTCTGCTACAGTGCAAAGCACTTGACTGATAGTCTGAGAATAACAAATACTGAAGTATTTTTGAGTTTTCTTGTTTTTTTTTTAAGAGACAAAAGTAATTACTATCCGTTTCAAAGAGTAAAATGTCTTTGTTTAAAGAGAAGTATGTATTTTGGCTCAAAAGCTCTGTGCTATATCATAGATTAATATTTCAGATCATTTAATTGACCTGTCACAAATTCAAAATTTTTATGAACCAGAAAATACGTTTCTATAGTTTGTACAAAAAGCTTCAGTTGGTTGCTAAACATTACAAAATGTTTACTTAAATGCTTCATTCATAACAAATATTGGCACTACTTAGATGAAAATGTGAAGTAGATAGGGAAGATGGTGATCCCTAATAATTCATTTTAAATAGTATTTAGACAGATTCTTKAATTAGGTATATGAAATAAAAAGCTAGCAAAGTCTTTCATTGAAAATGTTGTGACCTTTTTATCAGTTTGTATTGCAGTAGGATCTAGAGACTGCAGTTGATAGAATCTGACCCAGATTCTTTGCACCTGGTAAGGTGAGATTGACAGTGAAGTCACAGGCAGGGCTTGCCCAAAATCAGGGGGAGGCTTTCTTCTGAAATCAGGACCACAGGCTGTAGTACAGAGTCTCAGCCAGAAGAACTTAGTGTATCTTTGGATAGCACAGCTCTGTCCCCTTCACTTTGTTACTTGTTGAARTCTCTTTTAAAATTTCAAGTCAATATTTGGGTGTTTTAAATGTTCATGTCTGCTATAGAAGGGTTGTGTCAGTGTGTCAGTGTAAGCACAAAACCTGCCTTTTGTCGTGAGATATCACACCTTTATGTGGTTTTAAAGGATGCAGGTCTTTTTCACTTCATATACCTGTTAAATTATCTGCACTSCCCTTACTTTAGAACCCCAGTGTTCCAAAATCATGATTCTAGAAGAAAACAAGGATTTTCAAGACATATATATTTGCTGGGAGCTGTTGAGGGTAAATATCATTGTATGAGTTTACTGTCATCGGAGTGAAACCAACTGCCTACTTCTCAGCTCTAGCAATGCAGCTGATAAACAATTGCTCATGTAGCTAATGGCATCAGAATTTATAATTTAAATATATGTGGCAGGTTTGAGCTACAGAGAGAATGAATATATTGCTTTGCAAGGTACAGTTGGTCTTCCAAAATATTCCTGGAATGGGAACTAGCTGAAACCAGCTCTAAAAGTTCATTTCTGGTGGTAGAAGCCATATGCACTGTAGTACTGTTTCTGTATAATACTTGAGTGCTCATCTTCTGGTGCTACAGTATGTCTTGCTAACTCTTTGATATTAGCATTGCTATTTTTTCTTCCTACCTTTTCTTGAATGTATGATGTGTGCCTTTTGAGTTACTCTGGTGTTAAATGGTAAAGCAGTGTTACAGTATTTTTGCACATAGACTCTGCACTTTAGGGAAAACATCGCTTGGAAAGGGAATTTCCAGAATTCAATCTTAAAGTAGAATTTTAAAATAATAMGGTTTACAGTAGTAAGTATTTTAATGCAGCGTACAAACTAAAGGACACTTTATTTTTAGTCTATTTTTGTATGTAATATTTTTGTTATGTAATACAGACAAAACCAGAGCCACAATGTATTTTGCAAAAATAGCTTTTTTTTCTTTCAAGTTGATTTGAAAGAATCAAGTATGGCAACTTGAACTGCAGTGCTCATTCACCAGTGGAACCCACTTCTGTATTAAAAGCTTAACTGCTTTTATTGCAGAAGCCTAATTCTGCTTTGTGCCCTTCACAGCTGTTCTTTTGGTGAAGGTTACAGCTCCGTTCTGTGCTAGTCTCCCAGAGCAAGCAGTTCTCACAAGCTGTTACAATAAAACCTGTCCTGTGCCTGCTTCTTCTATAGAATGCAGAACCACAGAATGGTTTGGGTTGGAAAGGACCTTAAAGATCATCTAGTTCCAGCCCTGCTGTGGGCAGGGRCACCATACTTGARATTAAATCTGAAAACCAAAAAGGAATTTCTTTAGAACTGACTTTTCCTAGTAGAGTGATATTGAATGTATTCATCTTTTAAAGTCTGGRAAGAATTGTGTCACTGCACTGTTAAATATTTCTGGAAGGTCAGTTATTATTTTTGAAAGTGTTTTTAAAAGAATGGAGTCCCATCTCCAAAAGAATAATAGTTTTAACATTGGAAATGTGCATTAAAAATGGAAAACCAAAACAATGTAACTTTTCCCAGTAGTGCAAACTTTTAAGCACAAAAACATTCTGTTCTTCCACAATCATGTTGGAAAAAAAAAGATCTTCATATTCAACATACATGATGAGAGAGATTTTTTGGTTGATTTCTTTGCCATGCTATTAATCAAGCTGTCAGCAAGAAATGGTAGTGCTGGGATCTTGTGTCCTGTGTGGCCATCTGTGTTGGAAAGACTGTGGATGGCTGCATAATTACTGACCCAACCAAATGTTTGATGCATTTAATTCCTTTTGAAGACAAAGGGGTATGGTTAGTGTTTAAAAACACAACCTGAACTCGAGGCCCAAAATGCTCCAACAGATGAAAGAATGTGAAAATGAAGGAAAAAATGTCTATTTTAAAGTGGTGAAAGAATGACTTGGCAATGAGTCAAGAAGTAATCCTCCTGAATGTGTTTTTCTGTGTAGACAAGGAGGAGGAGAAACACATTTTGGAATATGTTCTAGTAGTAGGGTTGTGTTTAAGCACAAAGGGTGAAGATTTAAAAAAAATAAATAAAGGGAATTATCATGGTTCTTATAGATCAAACYGAAAAATGTAATGAAGGATGTAGATGAAATGAATGTAGAAATTTATATTTGCTGAAGTAATAGACCAAAATAATTTATGGACAATAATTTATCTATTAAGATTGTTTTCTATATATATATATATATATATTATTGCTTGCTGATTGTTTCTTTCATGGAGAGTTCTATTTGGCTGTAAGAATTCTGACTTCTGTTTTCAAGTAAATCTTTATTTATGCCATAATTCTATTTTTCTGTCGAAAATCTTGGTTAGCAGTTCCTTGCTAAAACTGATTTTATTCTTTAATGGCTAATAAATATTTTTYCTTTTTAAGTTGCTTTAAAATGCTTTCACTTTTCCTTTCTAACTCTGARCTTTCCTCTGTGTGGCTGCCTGTGAGGTACTATTTCAGGTATAGTTTGGCTTTGTTTAATTTGCTTCTACAGAACATGCATGCAAGTAACCAGTCCCTCAGAGTTCACATCAGCATCACTCCATCTAGAAGCAGTCTGCATAYGTGAATAAGTGTTACACAGTAACTGATAGCACAGTAGGGCATTTGTGCAATGGTGGGATGTTGACTATGACAAATGTTTAAAACTGTTTCCTTTTTCTTTTCTGCCTAGGAGATGAAATTTATCAGGACATTTTTCGTGACTTTTCTCAAATGGCATCAAATAATCCAGAGAAGTTAAACCGCTTCCAGCAGTCAGATTCCCAGAAGTCTTAAAGTATCAAGAAGGAAAAGAACTGAAGCTTRTAGTGCAAGTCTTTTTTTACTTTAACGGAATGAATTATATGCATTTTGTTAGATAGTTTGTTTAAATGACCACTCCAATGTAGCTTTAGATGGTGGTAGCTGGGGAAATGTATGAGTTGGTTTATATTCTACAGTGCATATACCTCAGCAGCTGAAGATGTTTAACCCCCCTGAGTACCTCTAGTGTAAAGCAGCCCCTATTCCAAGTCCAGTGTTTGCCTGCAGCTCACACATGGAGGTGGCAGAGCATGGCTGGAGCGCTGTGGGCTCTGAGTGCAGGATGGTCACAGCAGCTTTGCTACTCCAAATTGTCCACTGTCATCTGTCCCCTATTGCCATTAAGAATKTGCCTCTGACAAGAAGGTCTGGGTTGCATTTTCTGGGACTGTTTGGAAGGGAAATGGGGTAGTGAGTTCCTGAGTTGTCCTTCCATTTGTGGGGCTGCAACTCAACAGATTCTCTTATTCCTACGCTGACTCTGGTTAGAGGTAGGCTGTTCATAACAAATGTAGTAACTCCTGCTCTTTTGCAAGCTCTTTCACAGTGGAAGCTCTAGCACCAGGCTGGCCTTTATGCTGGTGACTGCAGGTCAGTCACAAAGGGATATATCCTGGGGACCAAATTCCTAAGAGCAGTCCATTTTCCTTTTTTTTTTTTTTTCTCTCCTCTTAAATTAAACTTCGGTGCAGCAAGTATTCTTCTAAATGAGCATGTGGAACCTTTCATCAAAAATAAAATTAATCCTTTTGGACATGATGTGGGGTTTGTTTGTAGTATTTTGACTTGAAACTGGAAACTTGAAATTTGAGACATGAAAGTAAGTATTGAGCCAATGAAGTTTGTGCAGAATAGTTGTACAAACACTGTTTCKACTTTTTGCTGTTCTCACTACTAGCCCTAAGTATAAAAGTCTCATCTCTTGTAGCCACCCTAAATTTAGGGCAATCAACCCTTTTTATCAGGAAGCAGTAGCCTTTGTGTAATATGCAATGATGTGTATGTTTATGTGTTCTCTAAACTAAGGTGAGCACAAGAAAAAAACAGAATATCACTGCACATTTTTGTCAAATAATGAATGAACACAGTCTCCAGCTGTGTTCTGAGGGCAGCAAGACAATTTGCTTGATGCAGTAGTGAACCCCACTCTGCCCATGTGCATGTATAAATGGTGTCTGTTGATATATGCTTATATATCAGGTTATTTAATACCTAGATAATAATCTCCTAAACCCCGAACCAGCAGATGCAGTTCTTTATCCTCTATTTGTTTGCCCTATGGAGACAACTTWAGCAGAGCTTTTAGGTAACACAGTATCAATGTGACTTTTCAATAATCGTAATAGCTGTGGCATTATGTTAACCTGCTGTTTAAGTRTATTTAGGAAATGAATTGGCTTTTCTCCAAGGAACGATAAACAAAACTGGGATAAAATAAATTGAAATTTTTTTTAAATTATGGTAAAGTTAAACTTTCTGGCATGTTAAAATTTAATGAGGTATTTCAAACATTTATAATTTTGCATCAAATGTATAATAATGTATCAAATTTGTGTATCATTATTGCTACAAAATTAGTAGTGTTGTAGAATTGTCCAGTGGATTTTATTTCCAATCAGAAGAATCTTAAAAGACAGTTCTTGCTTTGTATGTGGACTAATTACGGCAAGAAAATCAGATTCTGCCTATTTAAAGTGTGTATTTAGTCTGAATAATAAGAAACTTAAGGATATCCCCTTAAGTAAGCAGTAATTTTGAGTAAGTTGGTTTTTTAATAGCTGCCTATGAAATGATAATCTACTTCCTAATYAGCAGTATTTATCAACAAATGGTTGTTTTAGTAGATCTTAGAGAAAGTAAGATTCCCAGTGTATGGTTGGGGCAATGTAAGATACAACTGCATAGTAAACACTTTAGACATAGGTTTTTCTAAATGTTTGTCTTTCCCAGCCTGGGTGGCAGGCAGTATGGCAGTGTCATTGGCTGGAATGTAAAGCTACCCAAAGTTTAATGGCATAATTGCTGTCTCAGTCCACGCTGCTGGAAAAAGGTCTGAGACACTTGTTTCAAATCTCCATTGGTGATTTCCTCCCTAGCCACAAAATCTCTGTCAAATTTTACAGGATAATTTCTCTAGACTGGGAAGTTGCCTCCCTGTAGCTCTACAGATCCATGTGTCATATTCCTGACTGTCATCTGTCTGGGAAACAGTATCAGTCTGTCTATGCTAAAGGCTGAATCACACACCTGATTGACAAGGTTGTGTGACTTGTCAGGAGTGCTGGAGTTTTAATGGCTCAGGGTGTAACTGTGTCACCTGTGATCCTGAGCCTTGTTCCCCTATATGTTCTTCCAGGTATGATAGGATGTCCAGCATAAAAGTGCATTCAGTTAAARCCTTTTTCAGGTCAGGTGCAATGGTAACGTGTTGCTCATCAGCAAAAATGAATATACCATAAAGTTACATGGAATGTATTGATGGCTCAGTCTCACCAGCTCTGGCAGGCTCAGTGCTCCAGGGCCTCTGTGACTCACAGGATCCAGCCCCCAGCAGTGTGATTATCACCACAGCTCTGAAGATTTGGATTCTCTATCGAGTTTTGACTCATGATAATCTTCTGCTCAATATTAGGAAACTTCTATTTCTATTACAAAGTAGTCTAATTGGAATAGTAGAGAGTAAGGTTCCATTGTGGGTTAACATCTTGTACTCTGTACCAGGCAATGGAAAGGTTCAATTCCAGTTCATGTTTCTCTGTAGGTATAAAATGCAGTAGGTTTTAAGTGGTGAGGGACAAAGTAGATGATTCCTAACATATTTAAAAATCATCTTACAAATGGATTTTTAGTAATTTTCTATATTACATAACTCAYTGAACAATAGAATAATATTTCTCATATTTATAGATCAAATGTTCCTGAAGTCTCTTGGAACAACAAATGTCAAGGAGCTCAACATACATTCTAATGCATCTTGATTTTCGAGGTGTAACTTATGTCCATTGCATGTTGATTAAAATAGTGTCTGGTGGCTCATTAGTGGTTATCAAKTGTTTTGACTGTTCATAATGTTTCCTGTTTTATGTTGATCTCAGAACAGTACATATAACCTTACATTTCTGAATTGTCAGCTATGCCAMTACTTGTGTCAGACAGTTGGAATTTTTTCACATGAATTTGGGTGAAGGTGATAGATGGTAGAGGTGTATCTCTGCTTTCACAAACAGCCCMCATTGCAGTCTGATGGATGCATGTTCCAGGTGCTCATTAGTACATTATGGACTTCAGCCTCTCTGCCCATTAAGACCTAATCCAGGAAGTCACTGAAATCAGTGGCAGTCTTTCCATTGATTTCAGAGATTTTGGATTGTACCATTAGTGGCTTTCAATGTTAGAGTGCTAAAGGATCCTGTATTAATACTGCATTTTTCACTCTGGGGGGGGTTATATTTTACCTGTTTGTATACTGAGCTGAAATAGTTTTAGAAAATGCAACCAGACCTTCTAACTGCTGACAGCAAATCCCTGTACAAGAGGAATTTTCTCCTGTGTTGCAGTATATGACATCAGTACATATTGTTGTCCAAATTACTAGGTCTCCTTGATAAAGAAAAAAATCTTTGTAGCACTAAACTAAAAAGGTTCTCACTAAAAGAGAACTAACCCAAGCAGAGGGTCGATGTGATTGATGTTCCCAGGATTTTGGTGCTTCTCTGCAGCCAGCTGTTTTAAATTGTTACCTCAGCAGATGTTACCTCTGCTGCTTTATCTTGAGAATCTCAAATAACACAGTGACTATGAAACGACCCTTTGAAACTGCAAATAATAATATATAAGTACAAAGAACRTAATATTTTTACAATATCAAAAGGACTGAGCTGATTATTCTGATTCTTTAATACACAAAGTATTTTGAGAATCAATTTTTCAGGCTACAATCTCTGCCCATTCATTRTGGACACTTTTTCCCAAGTATTTATGCCACTGGCTTGTGCAGCCGTATAGCCGACATGCCTTGCTGCTGTGCTTACACAAAGGCACAGTTTTAAAAYAGGGACAACTCCGGAAAGGCACAACTGGGGAAAAGGATGAGTGTACCACTTTGGTATATCCCCTTTCATATGCTTGCTTTATCTTTGTGTATACAGTATTTTCTTGTTTCTCTTCCCATGGAAGGAGACGATAGAGGGRGAAAAATTCCACTCGCTTTTCTGTTAGGATCCTAAGTTTTCCATGTTTTGACAGAAATTGCCAAGAAATCATCGTTTCCTCAACCAGAGACGTTACTCTCTCCGAAATAATGAACTTTTTTTTTTCTCCGCGCGTTCCTCTGTACTCGGTGTTTTTTATGCATTCCAGCAGTAAAATGTAAAAAAAAAAACCCTACCCCCCTTAAGCTGTAACTGTACAGACTGTATTCTCCGCCCTCCTKCGCGTTGTGTACGGCTGTAGATTTGTATCTGAACCGTGGCTGTAGTTTCTGTAGTCTGTCATTGTCCAGGCGCTCCCCGCCCCGCCGTTGTGCCGTGCCCGCCCATCGSCCGGCTCGGGGCGGTGCCGCCCCGCCATGGCGGCGCTGCGGGGCTCGGCGCGCCGGGGCTGGGTGCGCTGCCCTCAGCCCGCGGCCCTGGCGGCGGCCGCGGCCCTGGCCGTCTGCGCCTTCTACTACCTGGGCGGCGGCGGCGAGACCTTCTCCAGCGCCACCCGCCGCCTCCGCGCCACGCCGCCCGCCCCGGCCCGYCCCGGGGCCCGCGGGCTGCACCTCCTGTTCATGTTCACCAAGGCGGAGCGCAACCCCGCGCTCCGCGACAAGGCGCAGGCGGCCCTRCGCTCGCTGCTGCGGCACTGCCGGCTGGGCGCCGCCGATGTGCTGCACTTCCACCTCGTCACCGAGGGCGCCAGCCGGGACATCGGCCTCGGGCTGCTGCGGGACCTGCTGCGCGGCGCCGCCTTCCGCCACCAGGTGCGCGGGGAGCGAGGGGCGGGCCGGGCCCGCGGGGAGCGGGCGGGGGCTCTGGCAGGGTGTTCGGTGAGATCTTCCCGCGAACACAGTCCAGCGGGAAGGAAGTGTCCCAACTAACAGCCCACGTGTCAGCTCCTAGCAGAGCGGATCGCTCCTCTGCTGGAGAAGYTCCCATTGCTCCCCAGTCCCGGGAATCTTGAGGGTCGTGTTCTGCGTCCGTACCGCTGCTGCCTGCGGGGAGATATCCTGGTGCAGCCCAGTGATGCTCTGCTGGGACGGGGCAGCAGCGGGGCCTGGGAACACCTCCGGCACACCGACTGTGCTGCTGGACAGCAGTTGCTCTAAGCAGTGCTGCTCTCCTACAGATCCTGGTTAGTCCTGCTTCAGCATCTCGACACAAGGACCACATGTGCTTGTATCTCGGTGGCTTCACGATCCGAAGAGGAAGTTGGCCTGCTGCTAATGCCTCTTGAGAACGGGAAGGSAGAGCCTGCAGGAGCTGGAATGCATCCACGTGCAAATGTTCCTACTGCCAGGGAAACGGTTCTGCCTCCCAAAAACACAGTGCTGTTCATGCAAAGTTAGGCTTACCTGTGCATCAAACAGGTGTCTGAAAGCTGGAGGGGTGTTAAATTCAGAGATTCCAGGTAACTTGACTTTCCTGTCCTGAGATGCTGCTGCAGAGCAGTGCTTGGAAGTGTCCTGTAGTCCTGCTGTAACTTTTATTGCTCATCTTTCCRGTATTTCATATTAGCTGACCTCTGCCAAGATGTAACTAGAAGTGTAATCTTAACATTGTTTATACAGACACTTCCCTGGTTAGTCCTACCACAGAGTTTCTTTAAACAAGCCCTTTCCCAGTGYTGGCACTCAGGTCACGTACCTGTGGTGGGAGACCCACACCATGCCAGCAGTGCTTGGCTGTCTGGGGGTGTGCACACTGCTTCAGGAGGATTCCTGCATTCCGCAGTGGGATGGACTGAGTGCTCCATGATGGTGCAGTGCTGATGTGGTGCAACAGCCCAGTCAAGGTTTGTGGTATTATGTCCCCTGGAGTRGGAGGGACCCCCAGGCCCTCATGGRGTGCAGRTCCCTTGCAGTCAMCCMTTTGTGCACCCCTAAGTGTGGCTGCCTTACTGCCATCTGCTGCTCTGGGAAACAAACTTCTCTGCGGGCAGCCTTGCCAGCCTCGCTTCTCCAGGACATCATGAGCTGGGAGTTGCAGTTGGAAGCGTGATTTGTCTGTTGTGGGTGGGCTCCTGTCTGTAGGTRCCTGTGGAGTCTCAGTGAAACCTGGTTCATGGCTTGGTGAGTATGTCTGGCACCAGAACTGATCTCTTGGGTGTAAGCACGCAGCATGATCCAGAGGACTCAGGTGAGATYTCGCTGAGATCTGCTCAGTTGCATGATTTCTTCCCTCTTTCCTGGCAGAGCCTGCTGTATCCTGATTTCACAGGCTACCTGTGGTTGGCAGTACATTTTGGATCAATCCATTCCTCTGATTTTAGGTACAAAACAGAGTCTGCTCTGCTTCTCAAGCATGCAGCCTCGCCCCTAATCCTGCACCAGTTTCTGGAATGCCAGTAGATGACAGCACCTCTTTATTCTTGCTTTAGCCTGCCCCATTCTTCTTTATCAGCAGGAAACTTCTCCCTAGCTTAGACCATTGGTGCTGCTGCTAAAATGTTGAAGGTGACTGATCTTATGCTCAGGTAGCTCCAGCACTAACCCATCTCCCTCCTGAGATCTCTTATTTTCTGCTTCTCTTGGTGTGCACAGAACACTTTCCTCATTCCTATGCTATTTTTCTAGCACAGGCTGAGAGGTGAGGCTTGGTGAAGTGCTCAGGGGGCAGCTGGAGCCACTGAGGCGGGACTGATAAAACACCCTGAACTTCACTTTTTCTTCATGAGGAAGCAGTTCAGGCCCTGATTTTGGAGCTGCCMTTGCCCTCCCATCCTAGCAAAGCTGGGATTAGTTGGCTCCTCTGGTAGAATGAAGCCAGTCAGACATGGATCATAACCTTAGGGGAAGGTTGTGAGCAGCTTTTCTGTCTCCGTAGGCAAGATTTGGTAACGTTCAAAGTCTCCTGGAGATTGAARCAGGCGGGGACAGCGTGCGGAGGGTGGGGCAGCGGGGCTGTGGGTGCAGGCGGTGGCTGCGTGGGAGCAGTTTAGGCACAGAGCCCTCCGGCAGAGCGGGCAGGGCTGTCCGGGCGTGGGCAGTGGCAGCGCGGCAGTCCCCGGTCCCGCAGGCCGTGCAGATGTGTCCCAGCTGTGTCCCAGATGTGCCCCAGATGTGCGGCGGGAGCGCGGCCGGGCGGCGGCGGCAGAGGGAGCCCGCGCTCCGCGGGTGCGGGCGGAGGGAGCGCCAGCCCGGGGCCGTGCTGCCCGTGCGGGGCCTCGCTCAGCTCTTACCGGGCCCTTGTGGGGCATCGCAGAGAGCGTGTCCCGCCCGCTCAGGGCGGGCAAGGGCATCTCTGCAGCCTCTCCCGGCTGCGGGAGCCTGCGCCAGCCTCGGCCGGCACTGTGCTTACCGGCTCGCCCGTTTCGTGCCGCTCCAGGCTGAGTGCTGCACCTCCTTGTGCGATTCCTGTCGCTTGTTGATTCCATTTCCCTGCCATAATAACACGAACTACGTGCTCGGCTCTCTGCTCGTCCTGGTTCCCTGTTGAGATGAGCCCCACGGAGGATGSTGCTGGGGTGGGTGTAACTGGGCTGCCATCAGGCCGTGTTTGTGGAGACCTGCGAGGATACCCAACATGGGAAGGAGGGAAAGTTAAAGGGAAAAGAAATGCAGGTTGTTTTTTCCTAGTGAATCAGCAGAAAGGGACTTTTATCAGTGCAGGACGTGTGTTTATAAAACTGTGCTTACACAGGAAACCCCTAGAACTTTTCTTAATGTCCTCAGCAAACGTGGTCGGATTTAGCTACAGGGATTTACTAAAAGCTGTTACACAAATAAATAACGAAGTACAAAATTAGCAGCAGATCAACAAGCTGTGCTAAAATCAGCAGTGAGAAGGGAAGAAGTCCTCACAGTCCCAGAGAGGCTGCCTAGCTTGTGGCTGAGTGAGCAAAATTCAGCTGCTCAGGAGTTTGCTTYGCAGAAGTACAAAAGGATGGTCAAAAGACACATCTTCCTGTTTTCTTTGGCAGGAGTGGGAGGACAGATGATACTGTTTCTGGAGTTTCAGGAGTATTTTTCCCATAACTTGTGTCCACTGGTGCTTGGTGTTGTGCTCACTTCAGAGGTGACTGGAATTGGTTTGACATTTTTCCCCTTTTCTACATACTGTACACCCCTGAGGCTGCCTTTGCTGGCTGCAGAAGGGTGGTTACAGGTGCTGTATTTCTCTTCCATGCTTCCCCAGTCCAGCCAGACCCCAAAGCTGCCCCTGCCGAGCTGGGCTGGGAGCAGAGTGTCACACATCCCCACGCTGGTTGTGCTCAGTTCCATGCCCAGGCTGTCAGTGCCTTTGCACCTGGAGAGTAGTGGTGGTTTTTTTTTGGTCACCTGGGGAGGCTGCTGGCACCGTGATGGCACAACTGACCACGCTGCCTCGTGGTACCAGTAACAGAGATTCCTCCCCTCAGCGTYTCAGGGACTGTGCTGTGCTATCCAGAGCCAGGTGTGGCTGCTGATGAGCTCTCCCCATGCACTTTCCTGGTACACRTTGTTCTGTGCTTTTCCTGCTGTTCTGCTGCAGGCCTTGGCTCCGAGCCCAGCAGCCGGGACAGCAGCAGCGGGGCCACCCCGCCAAGGGATGTGCTGGCCATGGAACCTGCGTGAGGATTCCTACAGCACCCGGCTGATGGCAAGGGCCAGGGGACAAGTGTGGRTGTTTAGGGTACCCTACCCAGGGTGGGCTGTAGGGACTCAGCTGTGCCTGTCCTCCAGCAGTGCCCTGCTGTGGGCTCAGCCATCTTGRCCAGTGCCAGGACAGGCCCATCAGCTCACTGTGTTCAGTGTCCTGTGGATGCCATGAGCACAACTCCATTTCCAGAGAGCTCCACTCTGCCCCAGAGCACTTTGGTCTGGGTAGCGTGTTCTATGAGAAGCTGTGGAAGGGAGAAGCTGCAGACTGCCCACTGCCTCCATCTCTGTGGCAGCCTTGCTGGCCATCAAAGCAGCCTTCTGTGCACCCCCTAGAGAGGATCAGCATCAGCACAGGCAGATGAAGTTTTAGTGGGGAAAAGTGAAACCAAAGAATCACAGAAATAGTTTCATCTGAAAGGGACCTACAAAACTGTGGTTTGAGTTCCCTGCTGAAGGCAGAGCCAGCTTGTGGAAGTGTCTTGGTATCCCTCAAACAAGAGGGATAAGTTCCCCTATCCAAAATTCAAGTATTGCTGCAGTCATGCCCTTGCTGGCCTTTAGTTCCAGCGGGGCTTTTCCTGCTTTGCCTGACCTGAAGAAGGCAAATCTCCACACTCAAGTTCCTGCACTCCCCCTTATCTGCACTGGGCTCATGTCCCTCATCTCTCTTAATTATCCTGAAAATCCCTCTCATTATCTTGTGTGATTCAGTGACCTGTATGCTTCTGTGGGTATAACGAGCTGCATGARAGTTCCTGTTCATTGGACTTTGACCAAAATAAATTATAAGCTTGTAAAATTTCAGTAGCTGACGAGGTGCATTTGGGGTTGCTCCTGTTTCTGGGACTTAGCCACGGCTGGCGCAGGCATGCCAGGGCTCGTGCTGGTGCATGGGCTCCCRCAGGGCTGAGGGATGCAGAGCAGTGCTGGCTGAGCACCAGCAAAGCTCCAGCACAGGCAGGCTGAGATCCATCCACAGAAGCTGCTTGGCTCTGCTGTAGCTCCTGATGTTGGGAATTTTCATCAGCCTGCTGCAGCCTGTGCTCCCTTTCCCCTTGCAGCCCTGACAGGACGTGCTGCCGAGCTTTGCTCCATGCTGAGCTGAGGTGCAGGAAATCCGGGCTGTGTCCCTGGCACTGTCACAGGCTGCCTCTCTAGCAGGGAGCAAGCCTTGGTCRTCAGGGCAAGTGATGTGCTCTGGCTCGACTCTAAACAGTAAAACCAGAGCCTGGAGCAAACTGTCACCTCTTCTGATGGACTCCATATGCAAAACCAGATATGTGTTTGCATCAGGCAGTGGGAACAGGCCAGAGAAATAGCCCAAAACATGGAACACACTTGGTTATGTGAGGGGGTTCAAGTCTCTGCCTCTCTCTTGCAGTTACCAAAGGCTGTAAAAGTCCTTCCTCCTTTCCCTACACTTGACTGGTTCTTGTGTTAAGAGGATGTGCAGGAGTTGGGGCACCCCRAGCCCTTTGTGCAGCTGCAATGCCACCAGCACTATTTGAGCTTTAACAGCCTCCCCTCTCACCCTGTGCTGCTGGGGCTGAGCAAAGGCTGCTGCAGCTGGGCCCGTCCCCAGAAGCGGCGGCTGAATGGTGTTTCTGGTGTCTCTCCCAGGTAATAGTCCATGATGTGAATGAGCTGACAGAAAAGCTGTTTCCCATCGTTGAGGCCATGCAGAAACACTTCAGTGCTGGATCAGGGACCTACTACAGYGACTCCATCTTCTTCCTGTCGGTTGCGATGCATCGCATCATGCCCAAAGGTAGGTGTCTGCTGTGCTGCATCCAGCCTCACAGGCTGTCTTCCTCKTCTGCACAGAGATGTTATCCAGTGCTATTTGAAATACAAAGTTAAGAAACTTCTGGGATGGACCCCTGGGATTCTGCTCCTTTCTGCAGAGTGATGGACCCATGAGTCAAGACCACATTCAGGTCTCCACTGGTGTGAGTGACTGGAGGTTCTCCTTGTCACATGGTGGCTCACCCTGTCCTCATGCCCTGAGGTGGTAGGAGAGGTGAGACAGGAGGTACTGGGCCCATCCTGTGTGTGTTTACAGCCCCCTTCCCCTTGGTATGCCAGCTGAAAGAGGTGCTGTGTGTCTGTGGTGTAGCTGCACTCTTGAGCATCAGCAGAGAGTAGTTGTCGAGTCTTTCCTCTTGGCTTTAGGGAGCTTTTGGAAAGSTTTGATTTGCAGCCACTGATCAGCTAAGTTTCCTTATTGTGCCTCTGCTGTTATGGAACGTGGAAACAACAAGAAATCTGCAAGAAAACAAGGCAGCTGGCAGAAGGGGCTTGGCTCAGCTGATGCTGTTTTTCTCCCCTGGCTGTGTGCAGTTGCCTCCCATAGAACCAGCATGTCTGGTCTTTTGTTGCACAAGTAGGRTGTTGTATCCTTGGGCTCCAAACCCCTTCACTGGAGCTCCTGCAGCCCTACTTGTCCATTCCCAGTGGGACCATTCCAGTGCTGGTCCCTGGGCTCTCCTGTCAGCTGCCTCGCTGGCCTRAAGCACTGTTCATGGCAGCATCCCTTCCTGGGCTGGTGTCATGTCCACCCTGGGCATGGCAGGCTGTGGGTGGCAGTGGTGGCACGGAGCCCCAGATCCTGCCTGGCCACACACCTGCTCCAGGGGGAGGTGACCAGCYTCTCAAAGCTGTTTGTGGCCGTCATGCAGTGTTCCCACAATGTGCATGTTGCCAGGGCTGGCACCACCAGCACCAGCAGTTTCCTTGGCACCTGGAGCCTSTGCCTGGCTGTAACACTCCCTGCAGACTTCCTAGCATGGGTCTCAAGTGCACTCTTGCTGGGWTGTGAGCAGATACWCCTCCCCTGTGYCCCTGCTGAGTCCTGTCCCAGTTTGGCTCTACCCAGGRGCTCCTGTCTCTGCTCTGCTCCGTGAGGCTTCCTCTGTCCTTTGCRGASTTGCCCCTGTCCTCCTGGCATGGCCATCCCACACCAGCTCATGGAGCAGTGGTGGCCCTGAGGGTCCCATCCAAGCTCACTGATCRTTACTCTGTGGGCTCCAGCAAATGTGCTGTACTTGGCTGTGCCTCAGACTTGGGTAATTTTGTGTGTGTCTGGCGTGTCTGCACTGCGAGCGCTTTGAAGTACGCTGCATACAAATGATGGTATTAATGCTGGTTAATTCACTCCTCCTGATTCCCTGCTCTGTCTTTACTGCCTGCTAAAGATATCCCTGTCGTGCTGCCTGCCAGCAAGAAGCTCGGTCTGAAATGCCTTTTCTCAGTTCATCAACCCATGAGGCATCTCTTGGAAAGCTTGTTTTCTCTCCCTCAGCCTGACAGGGCTTTCAGTGGTCTGCTCAGGACACAGGATGTTTAAAGAGGCATTTTTACAGTTTCATGAGTTTAGTTTTTGTTTCAGAAGCTGCTAGTAAAGCTGATTTATATTTCCCGTGCAAGGGAGGTCAGATTTACTGTGCTGGGTGCCTGGTGATTTATGGGGCTGGCAGGGCTCACCGGCCCCTTCCCAGTGCATTCCACCAAATGGGAGGCATCAGCAAAGGCTGCAGCTCTGCTGCCCACTCGCAGGCTTGCAGGTGCTGTGGGAATGGCACTGGGCTCCAGCTGCCCCCTTGACTCTGACAAGCCAGTATCTGCTGGTCTGAAGAAGCCTCTTTGCCAAGTTGAAGGAGAAAAGAAGGACCAAACCTCCTTTTTCAGGTGGTATTACCATTTTTCCTGGTGCATTTCTTCGCCATTTCTTCTGCCTTGAATGCTGTATCCTGCCCTGAGTTACGTGTCTTTTTRTGCACTTCTCCCAGCTCATCTGGCTCCATAGCATTTGCACCACTTTTTTGTGGGATCCAGATTTGATTGGAAGCTTGAGCATCCTCTAGCAGAAKTGAAGGCCCCGATCTGTACATTAAACTCTCTGTTGCGTTCATTTGCATATATCAGTCTATAGGGACTTTTTTCAGTAGCAAGCAACCTTTGTAATAAAACTGCCTGGCTTTAGTTTCCCAAAAATAAAAATATTTAATRCAGGCGTTTCCACAGTATCATGACTTAGTGATTTGTTTGGAGCCYATGGGTTGTGACAGGGCATTGACTTTGCAGACCAACAGTACTGAAAACTGAACACTAGGTTATTTTTTTTTGTTGAGGGACTTTTGWGGGACATATGCTGGGTGCATGCATATTGCACTGAGGGTAAGTGGGGTTTGCTACTCTACTGCTGTGTCATTCASTGTTGCTTGGGATCCTTGCCCAAAAAACTTCAGACTTAAAACCTGCAGCTGCCAAGTTATAATGTAACAGCTTCTTAGCTGGTGTAAATCATGGAACACTCTTGCCTTAAATGTCTTACATCAGTGGAGTTAATCTGATTTAAACCAGCTGGGGAGTTGGTATGCAGCACGCAGAAGTGCAGACTGCATAACTCTTGTCTGTGCTCAAGGCTCATAAATCCTGTTTTAATGTGGTGTAGCCAGGCTTGGGGAGCTGGAGCGGGGCTTGATCCATCAGGATGGTTCTGCAAGGCAGAAGTGATGGGAAAGTTAGAGAGGATGAGTGGGTTCAGGATTAGAAGAAGCTGCCAGGATGAAGACGATGCCAGCATGAAATGGTCTTGAGATTCTCAGAGCAGTGCAAGGAGGAGAACCTGGACCSTTTCACTTTCCTTTTCAGTATGCCCATGTAGAGGGGATCTCTCCCTTCCTGACTGGCTTCAATGCCTCTATCATTCGTCATTTTMTGTGTAACTTCAGGGGGCTCAGCAAGCTTTTTATCACCCTGTTAGGGATACATGAAGGAGGAATGTCTGGGCAGGCCTATCTGACAGACAAGGTCTGGGGACGAGCTCCTGGTGCCAAAAAGCAACAGGAAGAGTTGGGGTGACAGAAGGGCAGCCTGGGAAAGCTGGGAATTCCACAAGGAATTCTTGGCCCCCATCCTTGGCCCAAGTCAGGTGGTTTTCAGGAAAAGTTGGTTTAACAAGTGCTCATCCTCAGCAGCTGGTGGGCCATGGGAGAGCCAGTAGCATCCAGCAGCTTTGGAAACTGCCATTTCATGTTCAACTCCATTGGTCTTGCTGGTGGTGCTGCAGCAGGAGGGCCCTGTGGAAGAATAGAGAACAGAGAGAAAAAGAGACATGACACAGAAACAGCTTTGTGGCTTATCTCTGCCCACTTGAACAGAGGAATGGAGTGCATTAGCTCAGGGGAGGCTCTGAAACCTGGCTGATGGTACCATGCTTCACACTGAGTGAGGGTATTTAGCAGAACTTGACTCAGGATGGTGTTTGACAAACTGGAGGCAGCAGGGTTTCCTGGCTGTCTTCATGGGGAGTAGCAGCATTTCTGGACATGGTGACCTCCTCCCCTCCGGCCTCATGTGGGGGAGTTCTCAGGGTTTGTCTCAGTGTGCTGATCTGTGGAGCTCCTTGCTGCAGGTGCYGTAGAGCTGGGCTGCCTCCTGCATGAGGGAATCATGGCTGTGTGATGGACAGCAAGGCTCGGTGTGTCCTGGAGCTGCCAGCTGTGCAGGGAGCACTGGCAGGGACACACTGTGTGTGCTGGGGGCAGCAGGGGTGGCTGCTGTGGCTGGATGAGCAGCACAGTGTCTGGGGAAGGGACTGCCAGCGGGGAGCTGTGCCTTTGGCTTCATAGCAAGTGTCCAGACAGCGCCTGTGGTGCAGCACGATTGATGGGAAGTCCAGTGGTCTCCCTGGCCTCAGACTCCAAATGGGGTGATTTCTCCAGCTCATTATCAGCAGCTGTACTGATTGTTAAGCACAGACAGGATTATAATGATGTTTGTCCAAGCAGCCTGATAATGACCCAGCCCCAGTCACTTGGGGTTTGGTGCTGCTTTGCAGCAGGATCCAGCTGCTGGCTCCAGCTTGGTCTCCCACGAAACTGATATCAGCCTTTGTCTGCTCTGGGAGTACCAGCCCGGAGACAGAGGCCTCTGTGAACATCAGCTTATTCCTTTCCCACCRAGCAGAGCTGCAGGGAAGGCAAAGGCCAGCCAGGAGACGTGTTGGAGCAGGCACTGAGCTGTGYTCTGCTTTCTCAGGGCACCTTGCCTGTGCCCAGACTGGGCACCTGGAGCACTCCTGCTCTTGGCTGTGAAGGTGGAGAGCCTGGGAGCTGGGGGAAAGAGTTAAGCACAGAGGCACCAGGAAAACAGTCTGTGTACTGGAGTATTGCCTTGACAAGAACTGTTTTCTGCTAGTGTCCTGGAAAAGCCCACAGGCAGCATCCTGAAGACATTGTTGATTGCTTTTGTAGGGATGTGTGCATGAGGATTCGACGTTTCATCTGCACTGTTTGAATCCACAGCACAGGATTGCCCAGGTCAGCCTCTGTTTGCCCGTGGGGTGCCAGGTGCCCACGTGTGATGTGTCCCCTCACCAGCACCCATGTGCAGAGTTACACTGCACACATCCTGTGACACACAGGGCACCAGAGGTCCCCGAGGTGGAGGCTGCCAGAGGGAGATGGGGAGGAATCACTCCCCCTTCCTGCTGCTGTCAGCTGTGGAGCAATTCCTGGTGCACAGGGCAGCTGCCCACAGAGCTCAGCAAATCACTGTAATCGTTGTAATAAGTGAGCATTTTGAAAGTGCATCACTCCTGATTCTTTCCTGCTGGCTGAGCAGAGCCATCATTGCTGAGCCCCAGYACATCAGGGAATGCAGAGATGCAGCTGTCGGGAGAGGGCTGGGAGGGGAGTGCCCCTGTCCCAGATGCTCCAGGCCTGAYTGTGTGTTACCAACGGGGAAATGTTGGGAAAAGGCCCG